ACAATAACGGCGCCGTGGGTGTAAACTTACAGATTATGGGGTGGTAATATTATAATGAGATCCCTTTGCCACGTCACCAAGGGAGCGGAATCAGACGCGCTCGTTTTTTCAGATGCTTGCAGAAAAAGGCTTCCCAAAACAAAGTTACTGGGTTAATCTTTTTCACGTTACCTTGGTTGGTAGATGCACTGGGGACCTGATTATAGCACTTAAAACCTGGAAAAGTCAGATTTTCATGATATGTTACCTTTAATATTGTCGAAAAATGTAAACTATATTATCGGTCAGTGATATATTAAAAGTTGTATATATAGTACATCCTACTTTACCTGCGTACATACAGTATAGTCACATAAAGCTATACTATATAACAAATCTTTCTGAGTGTTCAAAATGTCAAGTTTTTAAAAAATGTTTTCAAAACTTTCTTTTTTTTTGGTTAGGCATGTTAAGGGAAGATTCCATTTTGTAAGCATTATGGGAATGTTACTTTTGAATGTTCCCTGAACAAGTAGTAACATTTAGATGAACATTCAACTAAAACGTTTTAGAAAACGTTCCATGAACGATGTATAAATAACCCTTTTATTTTAACGTATGGGAACATTATTAAAGACCAGATATCTCTGAACAAACATTCTCTTAACGTTAGTGGAAGAATGTTTGTTCATAACTTTGAGAGAAGAATGTTTGGAGAATGTTCCCTGTAAGCTAGGACTATAAGGCATGAAAATATGAAGATATTATAAACATCAACAACATCTTGCTTTTCTGTAAAGTTGCTTTGAAACAATGAGGACTGTGAAAAGTGCTATACAAATGAATTTCACTTGACTTGAATATTCTTGATGAATCAAACTTTGACTTTCCTTTCTGCCTCAGGTTTAGAACAGGAAAACAGAACATCCTCAGGACTTTCCGTAGTCTAAACCTACTACTACAACTTACTACTACTACTAGGTTTTTTTTACATAATTAAGCCCACTTTCCTATGTGTCTTTTTCACGTAGTGAGGATGCACCATCACCACCAACTCCACCCATCGTCATCAACAGATACTGTGATGACCAGCTGCGAGACATCGTGAAAAAACTACGGGAGAGGACAGAGCTTTTTAAGGAGAAAGTCATAGACCCCTACTCCTCGTCCCCCGAGCGCAGCCCACCCGTCAGTGAGTACTACAAACGCATCCAAAGTCTCACTGAATCCTGCTGTTTGATGGACAAGATATATCAATACTGTAATCTAGGAGGTGTTTCTCATTTTTTGTTCCTCAAGGACTTGTAATCTTAACATTTTTAACAGTTTGACTAATTTACCTTGCTGGAAGAACCGGGTCATTCTAGCTTAAGGTGGTCAAGGTGGTTTTTGGAAAATATAGCTGGTTTGTTGCCGTCTACCAGATCAAAACCAGCTGCTAGTCCTTCTTATTCTTAATGAGGCTCAGAGGTGGCATGAGTGCAATTAAATTCATAAATTCATGTGGAGATTAATGTTTTAAATATAAAATTTTGAATACAGAAATATGATTCAAATAACTGAAATTATACGCAAAAAATGAAAATAAATCCACCAGCAGGTGGTGGCATCATTCATTCAATTGATTCGTTCGAACGGCTGAATCATTCAGGAATGAAGCAAGTGAGTGTCTTTATGAACTGACGGAAATCCGTCAAAGCGACGGAACTTTAATCCCTGTACTTAATTCAAAGTGTAAATCTATTTTCATAAGGTGGCAGCAGCAGCTGTGTGTTCAACTTGAAGCAAAGCGATCAATGTATGACGTCAAAATACCGCGAGAGTGACTTGCAACTTATTTACGTCCGTCAAAAATAGGCGAGGCCCCTATCTTTAGCGAAGCAGTGCTGAGAGTCGCTTCTGGGACGCTTCTGAATCGTGGCACGGCGCGGATGGTATAAACACAAGCATTGACTAGAGTGGCCGTGATCAGCTCCGGTGGAATGTAAAAAAAGGGGTAAGAGTGTGTGCTCGAACATGCTCTAGAACCACTCTCGTGATACTTTGATGTCATACACCGATCAGTCTGCGCAGCGCTGCTTCAAGTCGAACACACCTATTGGGTTTGTGGTGTTGTTGTTGTGCACGCTAGGGAACGTATATCCACCATACGTCATTGCATCGCTATATCATTGATCGCACGCCAACTGTCATTGGCTTGTTTAGTTTACACTCGAAGGTGATTGGGCTCTCGGGCGAGATCCCAATTCGTCAGTCACGACTGACGTAACGTCTCCGTTCCCTCCTTCAGGGAACGAGGGTTACACAAGTAACCGAGACGTTCTACACTACTGTTTTCTACAGCTAGTACAACTGTATATTAGTATTTAGTGTACTGTGTAATGAGCTCTAGTTAATGTACATATTCCGTCTTTCTTTTTAGTATCAATCATTTTTTGAGTTCAGCGATCGTCTGGAAAGCGTCATGGCTAAGGCGTATATCTGGAGGTATGTGTGATTTCTATATGCTAATCTACTATTCTGAGTGGCTTAGCATGTTGCTAGGTGGTTGCTTACTGACCCACCTCAATACTATTATTGATATTTTGGTCTTTGGATATGGTTCAGGTCCCTCCTTCAATATGCGTATGAGTCTTATCACCCACCAGGTGAAAATTATAAGTCTGACTGCTTAGTAAGTCATAGCAACATGTTTGAGGCACAACAATTTGAGGTATCATGATAAGCAAATGGCAAAGGTTAGGGGTGTGTTTAAATCCATATCTGTATGTATGAGCGTCGAGCGATAATAATAATAGTCATGCTGGGCTTTTTTTTTTTAGAGTTGGCCGCACTACTGGATATCTGCTCTTCTGTCTCCATTTAAACTCCTGCCTTTACTATGTAGCATCAGAATACGAAGGGCTGGGCAGCACTAAATGGACATATGATGGAAAAGGAAATGCGTATGAACTATTTTTTTCTTCTTTTGCCATTATTTCATATATTTCATAAATAGTAGCTCTTTATAAATATATTTAATTTAAAATTTAATTACAATGTTATACTTAATTATTAAATTGTACTATATAATTATTTTTTTACTTGTATTATTTACACGTTAAAAAATCAATACATTTAAATACATTCAAAATAAAATATTAATAAATAAATAAATATTGTACTGATAATTTACATTGTACATAATGTACATTTTACTTTGCCAAGGTATCTCCGCTGTTATTACTTTGCGACTCGCACGCTGATCAATATCGGAGGTCTCCCCGAGCCCCATACGCTCTTTGAGATCGTCTTCCAGCTGGTGAACTTCTTCACAGGAGTCTTTGTCTTCTCTAGCTTGATTGGACAGGTAAGTAAATGAATACGTATAACACATGACCCAGAATAATAACTTCACAGCACTGATCAAAATCAGTTTAAACCCAGATGAGAGATGTAATTGGAGCAGCTACGGCGGGTCAGACCTACTTCCGCGCCTCTATGGACTCCTGTGTGGCGTATATGAACACCTACACCATCCCAAAGCAGGTGCAGAACAGAGTACGAATGTAATTTAAAAAGTATAGAATTTTAACATTGGCCATTTATCATTTATTGACTTTAACTTGAAAATATTACCAGTTTTTCAGTATCAGCCAGAATCATCAAAATGGTGCATCCATATCAGATATATAGATGTAAATCTTTGATTTTACAGATGAGAGATGTCATTGGAGCAGCTACTGCCGGCCAGACGTACTTCCGTGCATCTATGGATGCTTGTGTGGCGTACATGGTGACAAACCGCATCCCCAAGCTGGTTCAAAGCAGAGTGCGCACCTGGTACAACTACACCTGGGACTCCCAGGGCATGCTGGGTAAGAGTAATTCTTAACAGAAGTGCTCTATTAATACAGCTAGCTTTGGAATGATCGTTTATACAGTTACAATAAATCTAAACAGATGCAAATTTTTATAGATCAAAATGCAAAAATGTTTTTCCACAGATGAATCGGAGTTATTAGAAAAGATGCCTCTGGTCATGAGAACAGCCATCGCTGTGGACATCAACCTCGCCACCTTCCAGAAGATTGACCTCTTCAAGGTAAAACTTAATATTGTCAGTGAAATATATGAAGTAAAATAAAGTTAAAAAAAATTTGCTAATATTGACCTTTTATGGAGTGTTGCATGTGGGTCAAAGAGGAAACGTCTCATTTTGGTGTCCGCATTAAATTAACTTCAGTGATTTTATATGCAAAAAAGCATATTAAATGCAAGTAAACAGTCTACTTTAATGTTTTAAATAACTTTTGTGAAAATAAAATGCTAAAATATTAGTTAAATAATGTTCCATTGTCATTCAGCGTAACTTAATATTCGGAACTGTACTTAAAATATATAAAAGAAAACGTGATCATACTAAATTTTATTATATTTTAAATGATTAAAAACTTATACTGACAAATGGGTAATACCTAGTGTTTTGAAGGATTGGTAAAGGTTTAAATTTACAATGAATTAGTTACAATGAATTAGTTATGAGAAAATTTAAGCTGTTTCTTTTATTGTTTTGATGCTTCAACCCAGCAGGATTTTTCCATTAAGCTTTGGATTATTACATATTACATCATTGGCTTCTGGATTATTACACAAAATAAACTGTGATCAAAAGTTTATGATTCTTACACATTTTGTTCATCATGATAATATTCACAAATTAATACAACTTTTATGTGTTTTGAAGCCTAAATATTCAGTCTGCGCAGCGCTGCTTCAAGTCGAACACACCTATTGGGTTTGTGGTGTTGTTGTTGTGCACGCTAGGGAACGTATATCCACCATACGTCATTGCATCGCTATATCATTGATATCGTGATATGACACTTTTTTTATCATGTAAAAATTTATACCGGTATTATCGTGGACGGTATGATATGGCACACCCCTAATCTACACCAGCCTGGACCATCTAATGATTATAAATGACCAATTTTATCCAGCAAAAAAACATGAAAAACTAGCTCCCACCTGGATTTTCCAGCAGGGAATCCATTCATCTGTTTGTACTCTTCTAAACTTTAGTCTACTTGTTGATATCCAGCACCGATTTACCGAAAGGAAGACTGGATCAGAAAGCAGGAAGCGGAGAGAATAAAACGAGAAGAGGCCGAGCAGAAGAAAAAAGAGGAGGATGCCAAGAAAGCGGTGGCGAAGAAAGAAAAAGAGGAGAAAGAAAAGAAGGAGAAAGAGGGAAAGCTGAAAGCCGAGAAGGAGAAGGAGAAGGAGAAGGCCGAGAAGGAGGCGGCTGAAGCCATCTGCCCAAAAATCAAATGCACCTGCATAGACACACTTCTCAAACCTTTCGAAGACAAGATGGACGCATATTTGGGGACAACCATTGACCCTTTCACAGGTAGGACACTATGAGAACTGAAGATGCCTCTTGAAGTACAAAACATTGGCCTACACATGTTTGTTCTTCCTTCCAGATCGGCGGTATATTAAATGGCTGAGTGTCGTCACAGTCGCTTTTAACTACAACGTTTGGCTGGCCACGGCACGTTTGTGTTTCCCGTACCACACGCCTGTGACCATCCCCTTCTGGATCTTTTTTGATATCCTGGCAGACCTTGTGAACATCATAGATATCACCATGTTTCAGCCACGCTTACAGTTTGTGAAAGCAGGAGACATCATAGTAAGTGAATCTTGGTGTAGACACTTAAGACTTTTGGAATTGTGACAACAGGACGTCCACTCAAAAACCTACAAATTTATTTCCTCAGAAAGACAGAATAATGGCAAAACAGAGGTACAGGGAATCTGCCAGATTTCAGGTGTGTACAAATTATACTAGGTTCCTATATATTCCTATATGTTCCTAGATTCTATATATAGGCTATGATTAATAATTATAATTAAAAAAAAATGATAAAAAAAATTAAATGTGTATATTTAAAAAATATATATATTTATTTTATTTTGATAATATTTCTCTCAACAGACAGACCTGATAAGCATAATACCATTTGATTTGCTGTGTTTCCACTTTGGGTTTACATCGATCTTTAGGATAAACCGGTTTATACGGGTCAGTTACTCAACTTCTCCAGCCCAATCAATTTTCTTTAATTCTGATTTTTTTTAAACAAGTGTTATTTTAGTATTATTTATATCTGAAATTCATTTTATTCAATTGATTTTCAGTTTATTTTTAGCCTTAAAAATAGCTTTAATTTAATTTGTCATTTCTTTATTTGGTTTTTTCATTTCAGTTTTAGTTTTATTAATCTTACTCGACTTAAACTTATTTCAGTTCGTTGACAATTAAGGCAACATTTCTAATAAATTTTTTCATCTAATATTTGTTTTATTTTATTTTAGCTTTATTTCAATTCATGAAAATGATTTAATAGTTTTAGTTAACAATAACAAACGTAGTTACACCAAGTTACACCACGTTCTCATGACCGTTTCTGACAACAATTTCGGTCTTTACTCTTTAGTTAAAAAAAGTAAAAGAAAAAAAAAGTTTCAGTTAGATTATAAACAGTTAAGCTGTGAACGCGACTAGTGAGTAAATGAGTTTACCTGATGACGTTTAATGTCCAACCAGATAGAAGTCCCATATAGCTCCTTGTTAGCAACTGCCTATGTCAAGATAAATATTTAATAGATATAAGCTATTTCAGGAATTTAACTAAACTCATTCAACTTCAAAACCCCATTGACTTCAGGACAATGGAACCAGAAGTGCTAAACCGCTAATTTCCAGGTTTTAGCAAGTAGCAACACGCTAAAAACTTACGGCAAAACTCCACTGCCCCCTACTGGTGGCATATGTTTAATCGATTCTGGTGCACTTTTATGAAGTAAATCCGTGTTAGAATGATAAAAAGTATGAAAGAAAGAGAAAACAAGTGAGGGATTGATTTTGTTTCAAGTTTTTGCTATTTCAAACATATTTTTCTAGGGCTGTGACAACCAGATGCTTGTGGATATGTTACTGCGTCTGAAATCCATTGTGTACTTGCCAGGAGACTTTGTGTGTAAGAAGGTGAGAACATCAAATATAATCATCCATGTATATCTGATATTATATTGACTTTTGGCTTCATGCAGGGTGACATTGGGAGAGAAATGTATATTATTAAAGCCGGAGAGGTGCAGGTCATCGGTGGACCGGACAATAAGATTGTGTTCGTGACTCTGAAAGCAGGCTGTGTGTTCGGAGAGATCAGGTACCTGACAGACGATCTATATAGGCTACTGTTCAAAAGTTTGGGGTCTATACATTTTTTAAATGTTTTTAAAAGAAGAATCTAACTGAGGCTGCATTTATTTGATCAAAAATACATTAAAAAATATATTATAAAATATTATTGTAATTTTATTAAATTTTTAAATGTAATTAATTTAATAACTTAATTTAATAACATTATATATGTCTTTACTGTCACATCTCATCAAAAAAAAAAAAAAAAAGAACAAGAATGTCTAAAAAAAAGTTTCTAAAACAAAAATGCATTTATTTTCAGTCTCTTATAGTCAGCAAAAGATGGAGGCAACAGAAGAACAGCAAATGTTGCTGCTCACGGATTCGCCAACCTTTTTGTACTGGATAAGAAAGAACTCAATGACATCCTGGTCCATTACCCTGAGTCTCAGAAAGTGCTGGCCAGGAAGGGACGGTGAGTCAGAGGGTCACGGTCGTGCAACATGGACCGTTTCTTCAAGAACAGATTTAATAGATAAATGCAGTGGCTACAATAAAAGATGATTCATTCTCTGTGCAGGAAACTGATGAAGGCCAAAGGCAAAGCTGCTCCTGTCAAAGATGAAGGAGAAAAGAAGAAGGGATTGGCAATGTTTGGACAAAAACCACCCACTCCGAAAATGTTACGTGCTTTTGGAGGCTTTGGGAAAGGAGGATTACTGGAGAAACTCAGGGTGAGTGTGATGATCTGATGAGTGGTATAATGGTGCAAACACACATATGTAATAAAGTTTAAACGTTTGCATACAAATAGTTGAGAGATCTGAAATAACAACAACACTTCTCTTTCCTGCAGGCTCAAGCAGCAGAAAAAAAGAATTGAAAATTCCATCCATCCCATCACCTACACTTACAACTACCTAAAACATCTATTAATCCATCCACCCATTTCATCATCTATCCATCCATTTATCAATTACATCCATTCATCCATCCATTACATCATCCATCTATGATGATAGATAGATAGATTCATTCATTCATAGATCCATTCATTCAGATCTACAGAAATGTGATTAAAACTGTAAATACTGACTGTATGTTTCTGATTTGTAGTTGGTTTAGTGACAGATTCTTTTCAACTATAATTTTGAACTTATTACCCAACCTGTTCAGCACTTTAGGCAGTATCATGGTGGATGGGTTTCCTGGCCTTTGCATATTGTAAATAGGTCAATGTTTTTCATAAAATAAAAATACAATATTTAATACGTAGTTTCATTGTCATCTTTATTTATTGCATCTTAATAATATTGCGAATAAATCATAAACAATCCACTTTCTTGTGTTTTATTTACTGTATGTGAAACAAGGCATGCTACAGGCACACAAATGCAAGACATATCAGCAACTGCTGAGCTGACACATTACATTATAATGATACTGCATCTGATGAAACAAAATTAGTTTTATTTCAATTACATTTAAGACGATTGAATATATTCCTCTCAGCACTAATTAAGCACAACGTGCTGTTACAGACATTGTGATTAAATGTAAAACAAACGAAACTTAATTTGCATCTTAAACAGTTAATACTGATTCAAAAAGCTGATTACCTTTGCATATTATTATTATATTCATGCATTGTGCATTCAGGCACATAACAGGATGACTGACCCATCCAGACGTCAGTATCAATGGCTTTCATCTGTACAGATTGAGATCTGAGCACCATTCCTCAGTGGCTTTAGCTTTATGTGCATTCTGCACAAAAATAAAACTTGGCAATGTAAAAAGCTGCCACGTGATTTCCATAGAATTAAATCAAACATATATGCACATTTTTGTATCCACCTTATTCTTGGCGTAAGAGCGGGTGCAGCCATTTGTAATTTTTATGGGACTGGCTTCCGGTGCTATCCGCGTCCAGCTATTTTTAGCTGTACAAAACAGCTCGTTTTGCTGCTTGATATTGCAAATTGGTGTGTCTAACCCTATTATTATCATGTATTATCTTAATTATGAACACACTGGTTTGTAGTGCAAACCATTTGACCATTTACTGCATGTTGTTATTCTTCTCGTTATTCCCCTACAGTGGCTAATGAACCGGAAGTCTCGCCCATAGGCTTACTTCCACGTTGAAGAATAAGGTGGATAGGAACTGCATATTATCATGCACATTAATGTGATCAATTTGGAATAATGCATTAGATATATGAAGAAATGGCTTTGTGAGGCACTGATTAAAAAACATATACAGATATAAAAATATAAGATGTAAAGAATGATAATGACATGAAAAATTAATGAGATAACGCTGACTGTAAACTATTTCGAAAGGAGTTAGTGGGAATGACACTGGAGATAAAACAAATGCCTTCATACCATTCGGTCATCTCACCTGCAACACTAACAAGGTTGACTTTAAACTTAAACTCCCTCCCAATTTTTTTTTTTCAATAACTGATCATTTAGAGTAGGATACTTGAGTCCAAACAAGCTCTATAATAGATCATTGCAAGATCATTTGGCAGAAGAAAACATGTGAATGAATATAAAATGATTTTTAAAAAGTAAATAAAGGAATAACTGAAATTTAAACCAACACAAACCACATGTATCTAGTGGTATATCTCTTTAAGAAGGCCTAAAGTTAGATAAGTAGGTTGATGATGTCCAGTTGTGGAGTTGTATGCGGTATGAAGGAAGTTCACAGGTCCTTCAGTTCTGTGTCGGCCCATTTGGAGCGTCCACTGGAGTGTTTGACTTCAGAGGCGGGAGCTTCATCATGTTAAAGAAGGTGACGACTTGACCAGGAACCTCCGCCAGAACACACTTAGCGAGCTCCTCTTTAGGAGACTACAGAGAGAGAAAACGTTAGTCATCGTATTTCTGACTTTGAGCAGCAGAAGAAGGTCAGAGATGGTGAGAGGGGTTAAGCATCATAGTGTTAGTTACAAGACAGTGCAGACAACATAAATCATATCATGTCAGCTATCGATTAGCTAATATTATACTATTATGAACATTTGGACTTGAACACTTGATCATTGTGACAAATTACACTTTTAGCAGTTACATTACCTATCATTTTTAGATAATATAATGTATAATATAGATTATATAATTTATATCATATACATTATATAATTATTATATTCATATAATTATAAAAGAATAATAATAATAATGATACAATGTATCATAGCAAAAAAATGATGTATAAGTTTTTAGACTGTTATGGTTTGTGATAGTAGCATTTTTATTATTTATATAGTATTATATTTATATTAATATATTTATTAATATTTTGAAGTAGCTTTTATTTTTATATTGTTAGTTTTCATGTTAATTTTAGTTTGAGTATTTCTGTTATGCACTCTTATCATTTTTATGCCCTGCTGTAAATGTTGACCAGTTGATGAAAAACAATATAATGTAATACAATGTAATATATGCAATATAATGTAATATAATATAATGTTATGAACATTTGGGCGTCTTCCACTTGATCATTGTGACAAATGTCTGTTTTTAGCAGTTATATTGGCCTACCTATAATTTTTAGATAATATATAATTTATAATAATAATATAGATTATATAATTTATATCATATACATTATATAACTATTAGGGATGTAATGATATCAAAATCTCACAATGCGCTAATATCGCGATATGAAGTCCACGGTACGATATTTACTGCGATATTTAAAAAAAAAAAAAGCCAAATGAAGAATTGGAAAAAATTCAATTTTTGTACATTTTAAAGTTAAATTATTCTATCTAATGCACTTTGAGAGTTCAAAATTAAGAGCTCCAACCCATGTTCTTAACTAAGAAAACTTAAAGGGTTAGTTTATGGGATCAGAATCCCATATTAGTTCACCCAAAAATGAAAATTAGCCCATGTTTTACTCACCCTCAAGGCATCCTAGGTGCATATGACTTTCTTCTTTCAGATGAATCCAATCGGAGTTATATTTTAAAAAAAATTGTCCTTGCTCTTCCAAGCTTTATAATGGCATGGGCAGGTGTTTTTGTTCAACAGTCCAAAAGTAGTCAAATAAAACACATCCATCCATAATAAAATGCGCATTACACAGCTCAGTGGGGAGAACAAAGGCCTCCTGTAGCGAATCGATGCGTTTTTGTAAAAAAAATATATATATCCATATTTAAAACGATATAAACAGTTTTGTGTAACTTCTGCTAACTGTTGTACGTGTGTTCCCGAGAGACTGCCTGATGTAGGCATAGCGCATGCGCGTGTGAGCCTCGCGAAAACCAACGTTTGATTACAGGATCAAAGGAAGCAAAGTTTCCTTACTTTAGCAAAGGAAAACCAGTATCCTCTTGGCTTATATCGAAATACTCCTACATTTTTCTTTACAAATCCTCGTTTTGTACTTCTAATTAGTAACCGGCATTTTATTTTGTTCTCTCCTCCGCGCTCGTCACTAATCACTGGCACGTGCGCTACACAGACGTCCTACGTCATCCGCCGGAAATGCTTCCACCTACGACAGTTAGCAGAAGTGAAAGAAAGGTGTATATATTGTTTTAACTATGGATATTTTTCTTATAAAAACACGTCGATTTGCTACAGGAGGCCTTTTATTCACCCCCTGGAGTCATGTGAGGCACATTTTATTATGGATGGATGCACTTTAGTTGAATACTTTTGGACTGTTGAATAAAAACACCCGCCCATGCATTATAAAGCAGAAGAAAGTCAGACACACCTAGGATGCCTTGAGAGTGAGTAAAACATGGGACTAATTTTTATTTTTGGGTGAACCCTTCAAGTCAGAAAAAAAAGTCAGTGAACTGACTTGTCCCTGAACTTTAAAGAGGACTCAACCCTCTTTTTATTTGTGATATAATGTCTCAAGTCTAAATTACATTCACACTGGGGTTTTAGGAAGCCAAACAAATTAGAATAGAATAATAACAACAAGTAATAGCCATATATTGTAAAACAATTGCACTGTAAAATAAATGAAAATGAATATTTCATAGGTATATTATTTTTGCTTTACACTATAGTAGGGAAATTACAATACTTCTTTAGAGATATTTTGAATTTGGACTGCAGTAACATTACCCATTTAAACCACTAGCTGTCAGCAATTCATACTGCACTTTTGAGCTTTTATTTTGACGCAAACGGCAGTAGAGCTTTTATTTTGAAGGAAAACTCCAGTTTCAGTTAAAACATGCTTACAAAAACACATCTCACTACAAATCTACCTATCATATACATTATATAACTATACATTATACTCATATAATTATAAAATAATTTATAATAATAAAATGTACCATAGCACAAGTGATGCATAATACGTTTTTAGACAAAGTTATGGTTTGGGACAGTAGCATTTTTATTATTTATATAGTAGTATATATATATATATATATCATACAGTATTTATTATATTTATATATTTATTAATATTTTGAATTAGCTTTTATTTTTTATTTTTCATTATTTTTAATAATTTCATTATTTTTAGTTTTAGTATTTCTTTATGCACTCGTATCATTTTTTTTATTTTTTAAAATTTAAATTATTTTTATTTCAGTTTTAGTAACTAGCACTTATTTTAGTTAGTTGCCACTGCAAAAAAAATAAATCATCTAATATTTTTCTTTATTTCAGCCTAATTTCAATTTCAGTTTTACTTTTAGTTATAGTCAACATTAACAACACTGGTTAGGGACTAATTCAAATCAATTATAAGTATTAATAATCAGTAAGTATTAACACTATTAAACCAACAACCAAAACCAAAATATGGTTTAATATTGTATAAATAAAAGCTAGCTATCCACTGACTAATCAGACATGGATTTATTTTTCCTATTATGAACGTTGCCACAGAAACAAATAATTTTAGAGTCCAAGGACTTCAGTTTCATAATTCAATATGACATGAATGCAGCATAAATTCAACATGCTTTAGGAAAACCTCCTGT